TGAAAATTAATCAAGGTGGGTTTTCATTGCCCAGCAGAGGCCTTTAAAAGGACCTGACCTGACAACTGGAAGCTGTTATTGTCTGGTTTCTAAATTCAATCATTTTGGGGTTTTTTTTGCTGGATGGGTTAGCAGGAAATAGTTCACCCCAGCAGATAAATCTTCAATGATTTCTTTGCTGAAGTGTTGGAATTGTGCTTTCAGGAGTTCTCAAATTCTGGCTCTGTTGGAAAATGTTTCATTATTTGTTCATTATTTTAAAATGTTATTTAAAGTACACATATACATTTCTGTCAGTTAAAAAGGGTAGTCTTGCTGAGCCTTTTGGTATTGAGCACAGTGTAAATTTTTGCTTGTTTACCACAATAACTTAAGAAATGATGACTGAAGAATGGTCCTCCTTCCCTAGGTGACAGGTTTTTGGCCATACAACCTAACTTAAAAACACAGGATATGTCAAATGGTTAACTTATTTGGCATTGGAGCAAGGAGGGGCAACAACACATGGTCTTGGGTGAACCATCTTGAGGGATGCTCTTTCTCTGCTGTCATCATCCTTATCCAAGTCCAAGGGCTAAGAACAAAAAGAGGTGGAATATGAAGGTGGGCTAATGGTGAGATTAATTTAGCTAATGATAGTAACCTGCCCAATGCTTTTGTCCTGCAGGAGTCATAGAAAATGCCACAACCATGGAGTCACAGGGGGTGTCTCTGCCCTGAAGCAGTGTCATATGCCCTGAGGTTCCCAGAATAGAGCAATAGCTCTAGACCAGATCCCTGCCTGAACTGAAATGCCTCTTTCTAGGGCTTTTTGCCTCCTTTGTGCAGCCACTTGTGAAATCTCATTCTCCCTACCTTTCAGTATGCAGTGTAACCAATCCACAGAGGATAGAGAAGCATGATGCTGGTTTTCCAGTTAAATACTTACTGGTTTGACTCTTTTATTTATTTATATTTCTATTTGAAATACTTAGGGAAAAAAAACCAAACAGTTTCCTCTGACCACTCCTATTATTTATGCTTTGTCCCAGGTAGCTTTAAGCAAGAAAACATTTCTTTCCTCCTTGTATTTGCATTTACTTAGGAACTTCCAAGATGAAACTTGCATTTCTGGGCCTGGGGCTGCAATGGGGTTTAATAGTTTTTAATTACTTGACTATCTCTTGTGACATAATTTAAATGTCTCTCAACATTTCACCCCCAAGAAGTAAATATCTGCTAGGCTGTAAGATATGACTTACAGCTTTTTTTAGCTTTTTTTTTTTATATGAAACAATGAGGGAAAGGCATCATCCAGGCTCAATCACATCCAGTTTGCCTGTCAATATAAAGGGATTCTCAGCTGTGTCCCTAAACAGCCTTGCTCATTCCTTCCCTGCTTTTCACTCCTATTTCACATGTGTCTTTAAAGAGCTTCTGTCAGGATTAAAATATATCTTTACCTATACTGTTTTACTAAAAAACCCTGAGAGCCTAGCAAAAATAACTGTAAAAAACCATTATGTCTTACTACAGGATTAGGGTTTTTTTGTCCCATACTGTGTTCTTTTTCATCTTGGGAAAATGTGTACAATGAAAATAGATGAGCTTCAATTTAATCAACAAATTCTGTGTGTTATGGGAAATGGGCTTACAACAGATTGGGGCAGAGCTGTAAAATCAGAGCAGTGCAACAGCTCCATGTTCAGAATAAGCTAATATAATTAAAATTAAATCAGATAGTACTGCTTATAATTATGTCTTATATGTTTTCTAGCAGAAATGAATACTTTCTGGTAGCTTTAAACTGTTCCCAAATTCAGCCTGAAATTTTGCTTCTTGCATTGATTTATCATAGAATCACACAACGGTTTGAGCTGGAAGGGACCTTAAATATCACACTGTTCTGAGTCCCCTGCCATGGGCAGAGACAAATCCCACTAACCCAGGTTGCTCCAAGCCCCATCCAAGCCCCAACACTTCCAGGGATGGGGCAGCCACAACTTCCCTGACCAGCCTGTGCCAGTTGCCTCAGAGGAGGCAGCCACCTCACAGGAAAGGGTTTCTCCCTCAGATCTCATCTCAATCTCCCTTCTTCCAGCCTAAATCCCTTTCCCCTTGTCCCATCCCTCCCTGCCCTTGTCCAAAGTCCCTCCCTAGATTTTTCTGGAGCTTTTTCAGGCACTGGAAGGTGCTCTAAGGTCTTTCTGGAGCCTTCTCTTCAGCCTCAACCTCCCTGGGCAACCTGTGTCAGTGTCTCAAGGGACATATGAGAAGTGATGGTTGCATGGTCCTTCCTGAAGCAGTGTGTGCATCTGTACCTTGAGGGGAACTGCTGCCTTTTGCTCATATTGCTCAGTATTTTTCCACCTAAGTGACAAAACAAAGCTGCTATATACAGCCACTCTTCTTCAGTGTCTGTGGGAAAGGCTGTGTGATCAGGCAGGGCTTAGAAGATGTGTTTCTGCTGCTTCTCCAGTAGGTACAGATTTATGACTGGAGACTAAAGGGACATGAAGAACTGAACATTTTCCTTACAGGAATATAAAGTAAAGAAAGAACTAGGAATGAACAGAAGAATCCTGCAACAGATTCTATGGCTGTGAAGGACAGCAACACTAAATCCACTAAGATGTTGTGAACAGGGCAGGAATCATTATCCTGACTTACCAGCCAGGATAAGGTCATAAAATGTGAACAAAATACCAGAATACAAGCTTGGCTGCATCTCTCCTACCCTCTGACTAGTCTGTTCATCTGTTTATTGGGGAGTTTTATGTTTGTATTATGCTGCTTAAAAACAAGAAAAAAATGGAGGGGGTGAGGAGACCACGTAAAGTGCAAAATAAGAGTGAATAGGACTTTGCAATGCTAGAAAGAGCAAGACAAGGGAATCTCACTGCAAAGAGACTGATGGAAAAGCCATTTGAAGCACTAAATGTACAGCCTTAGAAACTCTCATTAGGAATAGAAGAGGATGCTGCTTGAAGCTAAATGACCCAGTAGCATCCTCTGCTGACCAAACAAAGGCTCTGGCGTTTTGGAAGTGTGCAAGGAGATCTAGGTGTCTTCAGACAGAGGTTTTTTAAGCAGAAGTTTCCTGTTTTGGCTTGGAATTAATCAAGGTTAAAAGAAGAGAGGACACTGTAGCAGGCCCGTTGACTCATGCACTCAGCTCTCAGAATACATTTTAGCTTCCCCTCTAGAAATGCAGGTTGGAAGTGAAGAGCCACTATAAAGAAACATCACCTTGTGAGTGAAAAAAAAAATTGTTACCACCCTTGTGCACCTTTATTCTTCCCCAAGAATCACAATAAACTGATTGAAAAGTATGAGAAAATAGGGGCCTCCAAGTAGGATTTGGGGAGGGGGAGAATAATGTCCCCATACACACTTCTAAGCATACTTGACAAAAAGATCCTTCTTAATCCTTGCACATGGAAGGGTAAATTTAAAGCCCCTTTCCCCCCCCCCCCCCCCCCAACTCAAGGAAAACATTTCTGTGTGAGTAATTGAAAAGTAAATGGAGGGTCAAGATGTATCACTGATTATCTGCTATGGAGATAGGACCACACAGCATTTTAATTTGTAAAAAAAAATAAGCATCTGGAAATCTAAATTTTAATAAAAAACACCAGTTTGGTTGGTGATGGATTCTGGAGGAGAGGACAAGTCATGCATCACTATTCTGTGCTGGAAGTGCTTATCCAGCTCTGCACAGTAAAACAGATGGGGCCTGGGAGGATTGCAAGGGAATGAAGCTTTGGAGCACCAATGGAAGAGATGAGTCTCCTGTCACCTGCAATGTAAAAAGCCAAAACATCTCTAGAACAAATGCAATTGGTTTATCAAGTCAAGATGGTGTTATTAAGTCTGGTGGCTGGAGGACAGGTTGATCTGTTCTCAAGAAAAGTGAATTGACTCTGTGTCTCACTGGAAGTTACTGTATTAATGTGTTGATAAGAGGATTACTGGCACTGTGGGGTCATAGAAACCCATCCAAAGAGAGGAACAGGAATTGAACTCTCTGGAGAAGATTTCAACTTGGAACAAACAACATTAAGGCAATGGAGGTCATTGGGAAGGCTGTTGATTTTAAGTAGAAACAGACATCAGAATTAAAAGCCTGTAGAATATCTCTTACTATACCTTAATTTGAATGAAATCAGGGTTCTTAATGCTGGAGTTATATTTGCCTACTCTGCAAAAAGCCTGCATTATTGCTTGGCTACTTTTCATTGCACAGCAGGCTGGAGAGAAATGTCTTTATCTTGCAGGAGACAGTCTTCTGGTAGCCTGAAAGCAGATTTGACACTCCCAGACCAAAACCAAACTGAGCAGCCTTATCCAAGTCTAGTCCTCTGAGCAGAATATGGAAATTCAGTGTGACACAACGATTTAAGTAAGAAGAAAGCAGTGCAGAGGAGTGATTGTATTTAAGGAGAATTTTCACTGAAAAGGAAGAATATGGATTGTCCAGACGGATGAGTCGGTTTGAAAAAAGAGACATATTTTCCATGTTATATTGACTTGTTTCAAATAGTCATAGAATCATAGAACCATTCAGGTTGGAAAAGACCCTTGGAATCTCCAAGTCCAATCATCATCCCTATTCTACAAAGTTCTCCCCTAAACCATCTCCACCAACACCACATCAAAATGACCCTTAAACTCATCCAGGGATGGTGACTCCACCACCTCCCTGGGCAGCCTGTTCCAGTGTCTAACCACTCTTTCTGTGAAAAAAAATGTCCTAATGTCCAGCCTAAACCTCCCCTGGTGCAACTTGAAGCCATTCCCTCTTGTTCTGTCACTAATTACCTGTGAGAAGAGACCAGCACCAACCTCTCTACAATGACCTTTCAGGCAGTTGTAGAGACTGATAAGATCTCCCCTCAGCCTCCTCTTCCTCAAATTAAACATTCCCAGTCCTACCCATGGAAAAAAAAACAACACAAAAATTCTTTACAGGTTTACCCTCTGTCTTCCCATTTATTTCTTTTGCCTTTCTTTTCTTTCAGCTACGAGCCAGGAAGAAGAAGTGCTGCCTTCTCTCCATTGCACTGGCTGTTCTGCTGTTCATCGTCATCATCATCGCGGTCTCTGTCAAGCGCTGACCTGGTTCCAATTTCCACAGGTAAAAGCCTTTAACTAAGTCTTTTTATCACACTCAGCAAGATGGCTGGGAAACAGTTTAGGATGTTGATATTGGTAAGAAAAAAATACCTTAGTTTTCATATTGAAGTTTGGCCTTTAAATTATTTCCTTTAAAGGGTATTTGGGCAAGGAAACTGCATCCTTAGTGGAACTCTAAAGCCAAGGTGGTATTGAAGCAAAACATCTTATTGTCCTTTGCTGTTTGCATTGTGTTTGAATTTATATGGATCTGATAGCAATGCTAATTCATAAATCCTAAATCCATATCAGTTAGAGATGCAAACGTAGTATAACGAACCCAGATTTGAGGATCAGAGGCAATGCAACATTCCACAGATATGCTGAGATGTTCCGAAGAGACACTGGAATCACCCAAAGGACTCCAGCATCCCAGGTCTGTATGCCTGCTGCCACGGCAGGGTTCACTGCTGAAGTCAGAAGTCATGGGTATCAGTGGGACTTTTCCTACAGCAAGCAGGAGCCTTGAGGGAGAAGCAAAGAAGGAGGGGGACAACTTTTGTGTTGGAAATGTCTCATGTCCCACAGAGACTTGCATAAAGCATGTGTGATACCACTGCTGAACTTGGTAGATACTTCATTATACTGAGCTTAACTGGAACCTTTTGCAATAACTTAAGCAAAGATTTCTTAGCCTGAACTATCTTCTGGAACTACCCTAGAGAAAGCACAGAGGATTGATAGACTTTGTTTATGGTTCTATTTTACAAGAGTTCAGTATTACTTAACAATGCTACCCTTCCACCTGAGGATGAAGTCATTTCCCTCTAATGTGCCTTCCTTCTACATTGTGCTCTCAACCGAAAAAAACAGGGGTTGTTTCAAAATAATCACAGAAAAAAAGCTTTGGAACTCCTGGCATGACATTGTGGATGCCAAAATTTGAGTGCAAGAAGGAATTGGGCAAATCCCTGAAAGAAAAAATCTGTTGAAGGGTGCAAAGTACATCTCACTGGGTTTGGATGAGCATTATCATGAGCCCTATATTATTACCAGGAGACATAGCTGTAAATATATGTTTTCTTAATTGCTTACTGAGGTGTTTGGCCAGCACTGAAATGAGGACAGTATCAGTGAGATGGATTGATCAAATAGGTATGTTCTTATGGCACATATATATATATAAATTCTACATATATTTTTATCCATCTTTTACATAAGAGACACTACTTGCAAGTGTAGATAGTAATCTGTCCTGCTGATTTAAATCTAGAGCAACTCTAATAAGTTTAGTTGCATTACTCTGGTTTTACTCTGGATTAGTCTGGTTTGAAAATGTGATCCACCATGGTAAATCTATAAAGTTATATCATTTCTTTCATGTGTAGTTAAATATTCCTATCTACCAGAAATCACATATCTTATCAACAGTTGTCTAAATCTAGACACATTTTAATCAAAATCAATTAAGCAGAGGAAGTCAGAGAACCAAAATATTCTTACAATAAAACTCTGTTGGAAAACTAGAGTTAACCTTCTCTTAAGAGATGCATGTCTAGAGGGAAGTGAACATAGAGATATTAATGAAAGCCCTAGTATAATATAGTGCTCTACTTTTGATATCAGTTGTGAAACTAATTATCAAGCTTCTAAAACATGAGTTACTCTCCAGCAGTACAAATGGAGGCAAAACCTGCATTGACCAAGTTCCTGCATATTGGAACAAGTATGATTTCTGATTAATATGAACTGTTCTTAACCTAGGTTGACCCCTGATTACATGGAACAGATTTCACGTTTATATTTTAAAGAATTCCAAACAGAATATTTTCAGAATCTCTATGTCTGTAGTGAACATTATTTTTCTCTATTCTGAATTGCAATGCAAACAGATTTGAAAATATCAATGGATTTAAGTTTCAGCTACCTGAAGAAACTCACATAAAACTGTCTTACATTCTTAAGAGAGATAGGGAACAGCTAGTCTTTAACATACAAGCACTGTACGTGGCCAGAGAAAACAAAGGAAAGAAAACAAACTAGTGAACTAGTTACAAAATACTCTGATTGGCACAGGACACATAACAGAAAAAAAAATCAATCCCAAGGTTCGTAATGACTGTCCAGAAGTTCTGTTTAATGTGTCACCAAAGAGTTTGCTCTGTGCTGGGTCATTAGGGAGCCAAAAGAAACATCATCAGCCACCTCATCCAAGTTGTTTGAATCCCATTTGCATGATATTCAGGGTATGCTTCTTCAGCTTCCATGAGTGCAGCCATGATGAGAAATCTGAAGGCATCAAATACCAGGACTTCTGTGGATGACACCATTAGTGTCTATAATTACAAATGATGGTTATGATCATTAAGATAGAAATGATTGTATTTGCTTGTTAGTTTCTGGCTTTGCTTTTGCCATAATGTTACTGCATCAACCGTTCTTCTCAGAAGGACAAAAAGTAATGTTTTTATTCCCATCCCCAATCAGACACGACCTTAGCAGCCAAGCCCATTCTTTCCATAGGAAAGACCACTTTATGACTCTTGAAAAGTAAAAAGCACTTTTTCCCCACAATTTTCTTATGCAGTGGTGGCATCAGTGGCTGCTGGCTCAGTGTGTGTAGAGAGACCAGCTGTTCAGCAGAGCTTTGAGCCCCAATTTCTGCCTGTCGATGTCCCTGACATAAGTATTGTCATTGCTCCCTGGGGGCAGTTTTGTCTGGCAGAGAGAGAGAGACAAGAGCATCTACAGAGGATGTGGAGAAACTCCTGGGGACTCATGTCTGTACGTTTGTTTGCTGACATCTCAGGAAAATAGCCCAGAAACTTTTTAGGTCATGTTGCTCATATTTTAGCAACACTGCAGCTGCTCTTTTAGCTCTTATGGTACAACATCAATAAACATCATAAAAGTAGCAATCTGAAAAAAAAAGTCTCTCTTCTAACGATGTCTTTGTCTAGTGTCAGCCTAGACAGACCTTCTGTGTTCTTCTTCTGACTCATTTGCATGAGTGAACAATTACACAAAGTGACAATCAAGACTGTTGGATTCCTAAGTCTTAAGCATTCTTTGTAGGAAAAAAAAAGAGGTGACAAACTTTAAGAAAGATGCTACATGCATTTGACAGTTGGAAAATATGCTTTTCAAGTACAGCTTAATCTTTTTGATCTCTTTAGCCAGAGAAAGAGAGAATGAAAGATGACTTGACTTTTCTGTGCCCTTTTCTTGGAAGAAATCATTGCAGCAGAAGATGCTTTGCCCATTTGCAACGCAGGCTTCAGTCAGACAAAGGTTAATGGAATGAGTCCATGCACTATGTTATATAGATTCCTTAAATCCTGTGGACTTACTGTTTGGTTTTTTTTCCAGCCTTAGCACCTCTCAGTGAATAAGGAGTTGAGAGCCCAGAGGACTAAAATAGTGGTTTCCTTCTTGGTAGCTGATGCAGTGGTTGACAGTGATGCTCAGCTATAGAAGAGAAGAACAACAGAAAAGTGTACAAGTGATCATTCAGCACAGTAACACTGGATCCAGGACTGGTGATTCTCTGCTATCTATCTCTCTAACTTTTCTTCTCCTGTTCTCACTCTCTCTCTCTCTTTTCCTTCCTAAAATCATTTAGTAATGTAAGGCCCAACCGCATTTTTTCTCAGGTCGTGCAACTTGACCATATCTCTATTATGACTTTTGTGATCAAAATAATCAGCTTTTATGATGATGCAGCATGAAATAATAATTGAAGTATCAGTATGCCTTCTATAGTCTTGATTAAATCAAATATTCAAATACAGACCTTGACTGTCATTTTACCTTAATCCAATCATGGGATCCATTCTGGATCCAGAATATTCTCCCAGCCTCCAGCAACATGAAGCTCAACAGCTTCCTGATCTGGGAAGTAATTAATATTTAACTGTCATTAATGCTTTGCCTTTTTGTTAATTTGACCAGCTGCATTTTGACCCACCATAAACTTTTAAAATGGGAAATGTCCTGAGTAAGGAGTTCCACACTATTTACAATGAAAATGTGATTTTTAATGTACAGGTAAAATTCCATCCTGGGCAGCATCTCTGAAACAAGGCAATAGTTCATGTGGAAAAGCAATAATCAGTCTCCAGGTATACGTTTCCTGAATAGGCAACTGTCTTGTTTGGAATTCAATTTGAATTAATTATTATAGAAAAATAGAAAATATTGATTAATTTGGGATTACTTTCCATCCTTCACAATCACAGTTTTCCTTGCCCCATTTAATTTTGGGCTTATTATGAGGTTTAATTTTTTCTGAAACCTTATCAATGTGGGTGAGGTTCAGAGAAACTATTTTATACATTCTGCCTTTGGTGTTTGTCTTCTCCTTACTTTCAGACCTTAAGCTTTTTACATTGAGGTGTGGGGGGTTTTTTTGGTACCTCATGCACTACAATGTCCCTGTGTGTTCTACCTCTGGTTCCTTGCGATGCATCAGGAATCATAAAACCTGCTCTTGTAGTCATTGTGTGTATTTGGAGCAGCAGAGGAATTCCCCTTCATGCAATCTGACCTAGGGAAGTAAAGAGTATCTTCATCTCAAGAGTATTAAATCTCAGAGTTTGAAACCAGGACATCAGAACAGCTTTCTGCAAAATGGGATTTGGCTGGGTCAGCCTTGTCCACTTCTGATGACATTAATGCTGCACTGTTCCCTCGTAGCAGAAGCCACCCAGGTAGGGCATAAAATACCATGTGGAGCCAAGAAGTTCTCTCCAGGCAAAGCACATGAATAACCCACCAACAAATGTAATCAGAGCCCATATCTGACAGAGTCATAAGGGCTGTAGGTGGCAGAGAGGAAAAGATTGACAAGTGGGTTTGTGGGACTCAGCATTTACAGTTTTGTCATTCCCAGCAGGAGACAAGTCTGGGCACAATCTTCTGACACATGCAATAGAAATTCTGACACTTGCCCAGTGCATCTCTTGCCTGGCAATGTCAGGTTGTAAAGACATGGCAGTTCCTA